TAATATTGTAATGTAACTTATTAATTTCAAAAGAGAGTAATAAGTAATATGTAATAGATTACATTTTGGAAGTAACTTGCCCAACACTAACTTGGCAATGTGACTGGAAAGTTGAGGTTTGCCCAGTGGAAGTCGTTTAGATGCTTCGTACATTAACTACCAGCAGGTTTGAGGACATGGGAATCCGAGGTCTGTCCCAATCCTACGGCCTTCTCCAGTGCTGCTTCGCACATCAGTGAAAAGCTAGTGCTAAGAAAGGCTCCCATTTGAAAACCCTAAGTTGTCATCATCTTTCCCCATCAACAAAAGCAAGGTCTCAAGGTAAGTGTGACAAACAAGGAATAAAGTTAAGAAATATAGAATTTCAAACAAAATACATTAATAAAAACACCCACAAATGTGTGCCTTGTGTGCGCACGTATGTGTACATGTGTATCTTCCCTCAGGCAGATTGACAAGCTTATCCAAACCAAGAGGGTGTTTCAGAGGCAGATGGTTCTGGTAGCTCAGGCTTTGGCCTCCTGGGATTTCAGTTTGGCCCATAATTGGACCAATTAGTCTGAGCCACAAATATTACCATGCCGTACGGGTACAAATCTACCCACAATACATACACACAACAAAGGTACAGAAAGAGGTAGATGCAAACACACAGCTCAGAGTTTTGATTGACACGCTGGCTGGGTAAGTAAGGGTACAGAAAAAATAAATAACCCAGCACCTTCACACACACAGTGTGAGAAACTTGTTCTTTAATTCAATCTTCACTTTGATGAATAAGAGAGTATCTCCAGGACCCTTGGTTTATCATGCAGCGCTGGCAGCCAGTAAAAAGAGGACTCAATAACACAGCTTGCAGAAAAAGAGTAAAACTTGAAGTCATTACTAGACAAAAAAATTCGATACAGAAGCAGAAAGTCTGAAAGAATCATGCAAGGGTTACAAAAAAGCTAAGCAGGAGATAAGTCTTGGATACCGAAGGTTGGTCTTAGAAACACTGGGAAATATCAGGGAACAAAAGGTTAGAACAAGACGGACTTGCACAGACAAAAGGGAGCACAAAGACAACATACACAAGTGAGGAAGGACAATAAGGGACAGGTGAAAATAATCAGACTGGAAGGAAGGGAATCTGAAACAAGCAACAAAGATGAGCACCAATAACAATTATTAAGAATCGGAAACAAGAAAAACATAACCTTTGATGGTACCTGCTGAGTCTACTGAGTACCATTTGTCTCTCTCTGTTCTTGTCATATATTTTATCTATTTATTTCATTTAAGGGACACTCCCATTACTCTTGCACTGTTGCCTTGAAGCTTATCAAACAGAACAAGCCCAGAGTTATCTTCAGGATTTACCCTTACCATTACAATCAAGATCCAATAAGTCCTGTTTCTGCAATGTTACCTGGTCTGTTAGGCTGTGTCAATTGTATTTTCAAATACGTCACTGTATTATTGAGCTGGCATCTATCAGACAAAAATTGCCCTGATGGACCTCAACAACAGGATACAACATGCACGTTTGCATGCAACATCTCCATCATAGACATATTACAATATGTAAATCTTGAGATTACCTAAGACTGCCTAAAACATAATTTGGAAGTCTTCCTAGAAAGAAAGAGAGAAAGCGTGTACGTCTGTTAACCGGGCACAGATCAAATCACCGATCAGGGCATGGTGATATTTAAATAACCCAAACCTTCCTTAAAGAAATACATATAGTTCAGATGGGGCTCCAATGAGCAGGGACCTTACATGAGCTGGGAAAACAGAGGAAACATGTCTCAAAAAGAACACTTTAAGAACTGTAAATCTGAGCTTCAGGCTGTCAAGACCCACAGGTCAGAACAAGAGGACTCATACATCTGAAGGAAGGTGGCCAAACACTGCTGGTAACACTGTGAAGACTTCAGAAGCATCTGGGAAGTAATCATGGAGATGCAGATTCAGCGGGGGATGATCCATGCCCACTCAGGAACTGTTGAGTGATTCAGCATGACAGGACTACAGTAAATATCCAAAAGCTACTACAAATACATGACACCAAAACCAATGTGTTTGTTACCCTTTCCTTGTATCTTTGGAAACTTTTGATGGCACGTTTTTTTTAGGATGAATTAGGATGCTTTATTTATAAGACATTGTACTCTTTTTGTAGTAATTTAGTGTCTCAGTTTAATGTTACTAGTCCCTTCTTGTTTGTATTTTGTATTTATATTTGGAATACATGTTTAGATTTTTGTGTCAGTGCAGTTACATTTTTAACTATTTGAGGTGTGTGACATAGTGATATTATGTAGGACCTATTCAATAAAGCAACACTTGATGAATAAGTTAGATTGAAGTAAGGGATAATGTCGAAGGGCGTTGTTGTTTCATTCATTTCCGCCTTGCTGCACATTATCCAACTTGTTACACAGCCACATAAATAAACCAATAACTTCCTGTCTGTCTTCTTCTACTTTTCCCTTTAGTGTTTACTTCGGCCCAATCCCAAACCATGCCCTACACCCTACACCCTACACACTCCCCGTCCGTGACGGAGTGAACTCTGTGGAGTGACACTCGCAGCTCAATGAGGCTCCCTCCTGTCAGATGAAGGGAGTAAATACAGCTGCAAGCTTTGGGACAAACTGCCCTCTCTCCGGCAGAAACAGGAAATGCCGTAACTGTATGTAAATACCAGGTTAACCTTAAAGTGATGTTGGTGGACACATTCGATTCCTGTTTTGGATAGTGTGCCAAGTGTTCGAATTACCCATTTGCTTTCGGGGGAGCCCTATTTTTTTGTGCACATCCTGCTACTAAATATGTCACACGCACGCTCTGTTGACTGGCGCAGCAGTGCGGATGCGATCAATTGCTATAAAAACACTCTGCTACAGGGGCGGACTGGCCATCGGGACGTTCGGGACGAATCCCGATGGGCCGGTTGCCCGGTACCGAAGTGGGCCAGTCGGACCACTCGACGCGGCCCACTGTCCCACTCCGATCGGCCCACTTCGGTACAGGTGAAATTGTAATCAGCTTAATGCTTGCCCATGTATACGAGTGAACGTGGATCGCTTTATTTAGTGATCGGATACGATCGGAAAAACATTCCATGTAAACGGCGCTATTGATAGGTTGTCAAACTTGTCAATCAGTAAAAAAAGAAAGGGTGGGGCTGAAAAAGCCAGAATGAAAAAACAAAAATTGCTACAGGAAGATTCTGGAACATTTTCGAAAATCACAGAGCTGTTTAGTAGAAGGGCTCCCGCTCCCAGTCGCAGTAATAAGGAGGAGAATGAAAAAGAAGATGATTAACCACAGACCCGGCATATAATGACAGTAGGTGCAGTGTGCAGGGCTGTGTTAATTTATGTTAATGTTAGCAATAGCATTAGTTGACTGAGAAAACCGTCATGAAAAAAGTTTAGCAATGTTACGACTAGTGTAATATGCCCACGGCTGTGATTGACAGCCTGGACAGCCAGTCAGAAGCTAGAATGCCAACCTAGAGAGCCAATCAGAACCTAGAACGGGCTGCAGGGCTGGCCAGACTATTATATTCTTCATAAAGTTAGATGCATTAGGATAGAGTCATATGCTCATGATATTCCAAGTTAAATTATATAATATTATAATTTTAAATAATTATATTCAATAATATTAATATTCAATAATAAGGACACATAGATGTGTTGCCAATTCACTATTGCATTCATTTTAGTGATTGACATTATTGTGCATGATATTGATATCATATTGGTAATTTAATTGATTGCTGATGTTCTTCTTATGCAGTTGACCCTGAGGAAAGTGAGAAAGCTGCAGGGTCCAGTACAGTTCATCAGGTCCATCTCTTTTATTGTATGGCTTGACTCTGGGGAATCTAGCGATAACAGTATACAGTGGGCTATATGAGCATAGTAGATGTATAATTTATCTGTAGGCTACAAGGGTGGCCCGCATGCGTCTGAACGTCCCGGGCTGAATTTGTGTCCCAATCCGCCCCTGACTACTACAGACGGTATTACTGCCAAAGCACAATAACATTTCAGAGAGAATAAATGACATGAGGCTACCGTTTCAAAACCAATTGATAGCCATAAGCCAAAATGTATTTAATTGCAACAAACAAAACAAAGCAACGACATCAGCTGCTGTTGGGGACACATGGTAACGTTTTTCAGATTTGTATAGGCTACAGTATATAACATAGACACGGCGGCCTCAGAATTTAAATGAGTTGAAATTAATCCAAGAAAATAATGAGACTAGCTATCCAAAACGAATGAGTTATTATTGAGCAACAACAATGAATGGAAATGTTAATACTACACTACACCACACAGGCCTAATCCAAAAGGAATTCGAACTTCCACGTAATTCAAAATTTTATTTTATTTTTATTTTGTATGTGTGCATGACATGTGTGTCATAGCCTCTTTTTTTCAGCTGAAGGGGAAGGAAGGGGCTTCTTTAGGACCAGCCTGGAATAGGCCATACTCATAGTCAACAGCTTTGTCCCTATCGCTTCCTGACTGTCCCTTCACTTCTTCCCTGTCACTCCCCTGTGGGTGGATTGCTACAATGGAGGGAAAACGAACGAGAAGTTACAAACATGCAAGCAGGCTATGAAACCAAAGTGTTTGTGTGTGTGTGTGTGTGTGTGTGTGTGTGTGTGTGTGTGTGTGTGTGTGTGTGTGTGTGTGTGTGTGTGTGTGTGTGTGTGTGTGGTGCTGAAAGAGCAATGCCGAGCCTATAGATTGATTAGACTACGCAAGTCAATCAGTCTGATAAAAACCTAATAAATCACACAACCAAAAAATAGATCAACAGTAGGACTGGGGCCAGTCCAAACAAACACAAAGCTCAAACAGTAAAATTGACTCTCTTACCTTACTGTAAAAGCGACCACAGGGACCTGGGCGGCTTCTTCTTGGCTTTCGGTCCCGGAACCCAGGATGTGGAGGGTTTGTGGCCAGCTTTGATCCAAGACCGTACAAATGGCTGAGGGTCGAATTGCTCCAGGGGGGGGGGCCATTGATGTCTACGAAGAGAAGTGAGAAGAGGCTCTTCTCCCGCAACTTGCTGCGTTTGTCGGTGTCGGTCGAATTGACGGCAGAAAACCCCCTCCCACACTCAGCTGATGTAGGCAAAAAGGTCTAACAGTTTTTGCAGGGCTTTCCCTGGAGATTTATTCTCTAATTTGTAGACCCGAAACTCCTCAATGGCCTCTCGGGCCGGTTCCCCCAGTACTTTTGCCAGTGCACATACTTCATTCTCCCCATAGAGGATCAGGGCGGACCAGGTCCGGTTCAGGCAGTCGCTTCTTCAAACTGTCTATTATAGACTGATAAAACTGCAGACGGTTTATATCTTGGGCCTGCTCTCTGAGAGCTCAACATCCTTGAACATGCCAGTAGCAATGCCTTCTTCCACTTTTTGTGCGGACTTTCCGCCACTGATTTTCATAGCTGTCAACACATCGATGGTCTGCTGAATGTAGCAACTTGCATATACCAAAGATGTTTCTCCATTCTGGTGAAAGGTGCAATCCAGTGGATTTTTCTGCGAGCGGCAAGGAGATCAATATCGTTTCTCCCCCCCATTTCGAACACTGTTCAAGCCCCCACTAATCATGTACCCTTGAATCTAGCCAGCAACACCAAGTGGTTCAACTGTGGCGCTGCGTTAGTGTGTTAGTCTTTCAAACTGGAGGTTGCGGGTTCAATTTCAGCTCTTGCAGCCAACAAGAGTTCCACCCAAAAATAATAGAAACCAGGAAATACAAACACTGCAATATACCGTCTTTAACAGAAAAGGCAAATACCAATCGGCTTAAATTGCGGCCCTTTAAAGTGGTGCTGCCCCCATGTGGTAAAAGGATGAATTACATTTGAAAGATTTATGCTGTTTGAGAGAGCTAGCGGGCCATAAATAATAAATTATGAGACAGAAGCTGCGCGCCGTATTAAATCTAGCCGGACTGTGGACATGCCTTTCACTAGAGTGTCCCACATCTTTATACCCAATGTGTATTCACTTTTATTTCGGTATCCATTACTAGTTCCTGGATAAAATATTGTCTTGATATCAGTCACAACATTCCAGTACAGTGTCTTCATGGAGTGACTCAAAGTCCAATACAGAAATATTTGAACGTGTTCATGTCACGGCCCGTCCACACAGCGGCGTGCGTTGACACTTGCCGGCGGGCGTGTCTGAAACTTGACCAACAACCAATCACATGAATCTCCCGCCCCTGACACACAAGCAGCGGTTTGATTAGCTAGAGCTTGTACTGGCATATGATTCGATTGGCTGACGCTTCTGCCGAGGCGTCAAAAGTTGAACATTGCTCAACTTTTGCAGCGAGCAACGCCAGCAACGCTCCGCGTCGCTTCCCACAATGCAGTTCGGCGAAAAGTGACGTCACCCCATTCAAAGTGAATGGTGAAGCGTCAATGCACGCCGCTGTGTGGACGGGCCGTCATATATCCTCAAATGTGATTATGATCCAGTTGTCACCCGTCCTCCCTGTGTCGATGTTTCTGTTCATGCAGTCTCACTTTTCTCTTTAAGGAGGAGCTGTCAAACCAGATCTCCGCCCTGATCCACAGCTTCCATCACATCGATGGACGTAAGTTTCCATGTCAGGTTTCATAATACCATGTGATGTAATATGATGCATGATGATGATGATGATGATGATGATGATGATGCTGCTGTACCCTGCAGAGCTGTTGTTCCTGGAGAGCTTCCTGCAGACGTTGAAGAGGGAGTGGACAGGTATCGACAGGCTGCGGATGGACAAGTTCTTCCAGGTTGGTGTTAGGAGATACTCGATGACTTTCACGTGTGGTAGGGGGGGTTCATGCCCCTTTGTCCTGTGCCAGCTGAGAGCTGCGGGTCGGCAGTCCCTCAATCGTAGATTTGAGTCAGTGATGAGAGCTGTTGAGATGTTGGGTGTGCTGGGCTGTTGATAAAAACATGGGCATGTCAGTTATTCCTCATATAAGGCTTTTGTCAACGTCCTACTAAGGCGAAATCACATCTGGTAGCCAGTAGGGCTGTACTCGACTATTCGAATATTCGTCCGTTGGCCAACTATTCGGGTTTCAATTTCCTTATTCGGATATTCGTTTTTTTATTTAAAAAAAAATATATATATATACCGTAAATTTCGGACTATAAGCCGCGCCTTTTTTCCCATTTTTCGACGCTGCGGCTTATATAACGGTGCGGCTAATCTATGGATTTTTACAGCTAACGGCCACCAGGGGACCTCCTAAATCTATGGATTTTACAGGTTACAGTCCACCACCTTTAACTCTATGGGCTCTATGGCCGGTCCGCGCCCCCCACCTTTAAGCGGCGGGCTCCAGCAGGAAAAGCTGGAGGCCGGAAAAGAGTGAGACAGGCAGCGCGCAAAAGTAAAAGTGGAACCGAGAGTGGTACGAGAGACAGAACGAGAGCAAGACAGACAGACAGACAGACATTACGAGAGCGAGACAGTTTGTCCCCGTACCACTGGTTGAAAACCACTGCTGTAGATCACTGCCGGTACGTGCGCTGGGAGCGCACCGTTTA